ACACCCTGTTCTTCTCTCTGGCATTTACATACACTCACTTTCAAAAAGCAGCAGAGTTTAGTCTCAGGACATTATATTTAGAGCTTTCAACTCAGTAGCAAGAACTGTAACTTTCGCAATATGGAGACCAGTAAACCTGTAAGGAGCCTATACCACGTTATTAACTGCTACATAAACCTTACATTGCTCCCAAGTTAACTGAAAGCATCCTAAAACCTGGTGTCCTTTACGAAGTTTGCTCTGTTGTTTACTAACTGTGCTACAGTCAACTGGATTATTGGGCCTTTCCCAGCCCTCTCCCAGGGAAAAACTCTGCTGTGTTTCCCAGAGAGGAGGGGTGAAGCAGCCTCAGTCATGACACCCTCGCAGTCATTAGGGCCAAGGCTGTCAGCTCAGCAAAACACTGCTGCTCTCCCCCAGCCCAAAAAGGCTCTCCCAGGAGCAGTTTTAAGCCTCAGACTCACCATCTGCCAACAAACATTGCTGTGCCTGTGCACAGTTAGATGTGCTAACGCTGCTCTAAAGTAAATAAAAATAATATCCCACTTGTTTTCTAACTGATAAGCTAACTCATTTTCAGAATCACTTCCATAAAATCCAACCTGTGTAGAGGCCAAAGATGGAAAACATTCAGCTGAAACCATCTTCAGTGTGACTGCCAGGCTGAGGAGTCACTGCCCTTGGCTAAAGCCCACCTGGCTGTTACATCCAGCTCCACAGTTCTGCCACAGATGGTCAACTAAAGCACCAGGCCTGAGTGGGAAAGAGTTTTTCAATCATATTGCATTTGAGACTTTGAAGATTTGCCATGTTCCAGGACCAAAGACAGTCAAAAACTTCTGTGAACTGAAATGTCAAAAAGTCCTCTTACAGCCTGGGACCGCTTCGTTCAAACTGGAGCCCTGAAAAATCACTGAACATTTTGATTTTGACCTTGGAAGTATTCTTTTTCTTACTTCAAAAGTAGAAACATTATTATTTCCATTATTTCAAAACAATTCTTTTTAATTTAAATAGCTGCCATTTGTCCCACACACTGTCTTAGCATCTGAATAATAAAGAAATTTCAGAAATGCCAATAATCCAAATAGCTCACAAGCTTTATTTTTAGTTTGCAGAGATTAAACATTCTTCACATTAATGAATCTTCTATGTTTTACTTCAGTTCATACATTTTCCTCCCTTAGTGAATAGCAGACCTCTCAGAAATCAACACAGCTTGTTAGAAAAAAGACAAAATGCCTATTAAATTATCAAGTGCATTTCTCATCAGAGTGCAGCCATCGTTCTCTACAAAGAAGCACTATAGCTTAATTGACTTCCTAGAAAAAGCAATGTTTAGGCAGATGGTACTGAGAATCAACTGAGTGTTATTCTTTAAATTGGTGTAGTTAAGTGATGGGGACGTTTGGAAAACACAGGAAGGCAAGAGTGGGTGCATCACAGAGGCTTTGTGCCCGGCGTGATGGGGCTCAGTGCCCACAGTGAGACACGGAGCCAGGCAAAGAGCAGGGACTGGTGGATCAGATATGGGGATAGAGAGGTGTTTGTGTAAATATGGTAAGCGAAATTTATCAGAAAAGAAAAAAAATAATCCTGAAAAAAATAGCTTGATAGCTTCCATCCAGCTATCAAATAAAAATCTGAGAAAATGGATTCCTAAGGGTCTGAGGGGGTATGGAGCTGGCAGGCTGTAACTGAGCCAGCTGAGCATCCCCGAGCACCTGCATGTCCAGTTCAGAGCAGGGCACTCAGAAGTTTGGATGCTGGTGCAGGGACCCAAAGTAATCCCTTGAGAAGCCTGCGTGTCCCTCTGCCAACATGCAGAAATATCCTGAAGCATCTCCTGACAAAGAACAACCTCTTTACTGCTTGTTCATCTGAAAACTGGAGGTGCTGCAGAGGTAAATTAAGATTAAGGCAGGAGAGTTAAAATAGAAATCCTATTACCGAACTTTGCAAGGCTCATTCCTAAAGTGAATATCAATACTCTGCTCATTAACAGACTTCTGTGGAAACAAAGCCCATTTGCTTCAATTCTTTTTAATTTCATTCTCATTATTTCGGTTGTGCATTCAAATTATATAAAAAATAGAAAAAAAAAATAAATCCTGAACAATTCTAGGCTTGTGACTTTTGGAGAAGTGCTGATATTGGTGATCATCTCCAGAACTTTTTTCCTGTGATTAGGAAAATGAAAAATGTTCCTTCAAGCTACAATTCTATTAAGAAGCTTTTCAGAGTAGGAAGGATCCCTACCTTTAAATTATTTAGGCTTACTCTTGCTGGGAAATTGAGTGGTAGAATCAATGATAAGCAGAGAAGAACAAGAATATTTTAGGATCAAGGGCCATCCTGCCCTTTTTCTGCCGCATTTCACTGCTGAAACTGCCAGAAGAGCCTGTCAAGCAACTAAGCACGTTGCTTAGGACTGTCTCCCTGCAAAGCAGAGAGGAAATCCTGTAAATGGGATTTTAAGAGCAGTTGGAGTCAGACTGCAGCTGCTGAAACATTTTTCTGGCAACATGACAGCCCCAGTGAGCGTCAGGAGATGCACCCAGCCAGCACAGGAGCTTAAGCTGGGAGCTGGTAATGCAGGCGGGGTTACTGAGACAAGACAACCAGTGGCTTGTCTGGTTGCCAAACCACCCATGGCTTTTATGATGTGCCAAAACAAAGCTTTTAGAGTGGCCTGGGGAGCAAGGTGGGAAGGACCCCGGAAATTACTCTAAAAATCTTCCTCCCCAATGCACTCTCCACAGCAGCTTCGGCCACTCTAATACAAGTCTGCCCGGATAAAAGCCACACATGGCTTTGCAGTACAAAAGTTCAGCTACCTGGATTTGCAAGATAAGGGCCCAGGCACAGATTCTTCTTCAGATTGGATGTGCCCTATGTGTTAATATGTGGGTAAACCCAGAGCATTGTAGCCAGGTCTTGTGGGCGGATGCTGAACGCTGCTGGATGCAGGTTGAGGAACAGTGGGAGCAATGCAAGGCTTCCCTTGCTGGAGCAGCAGCCAAATGGGTCTCAGTGGTCTCTGCTAGGATGGATTTAACAGCAGTGGTGCCACACACTCTGCCCTGCAGTATTGGAGCACACACCACAGCAAGGAAGCAATGCAAAAGCTGACACACTTTAAAAAGCCTCCCTCCCTCGGCAAATCTGCCTGGGCTGTGGTGAAATATCAGAGGTGGCTAAAGGCTGGCACAGAAGGCTTATAACACCTTTTTTTTAACCTAGCTTTGCCCTATCTACTGGTGACGCTTACAGAGTGCCCATCTATGTCAGTGGTCGTGGAGTCTTGGATGGAGATTGCCAGGACCTGACATCCAGGCTACTTCCTTCATCCCAAACCCCAGCAGGTAACACTTGCCAAACAGGGCTTTCCTCAAACGGGAGCTCTCCCATCTGTGACAGCAGTAACAAAACACAGGAGAAGCACCATCTGTTCATCTAGATGGGTACCAGCAGTACCAATTCTCACCACAGCAGCTGTAGCCTTTAATAAATACATAGAACTCTTTTTCTAAATATTGGAAAGGGCCTAGCCACAGAATAGCTATTTCAGCAGGATTTATTGTTATTTATGTTGCACCAACAGCCTGCCTTCCTAACGAGCATCTCAGGCTGTTACCACAGCTTGTACAACAGTGTTAAGTGAGTCCTGTAACAAATCCTTAGTGCTCAGCTGCCCACTCCTTGCTCTGTGCCCAGGGCAAGTGGGAGTGTGAGATGTGGTGAAGGTGCTCCTGCTGCAGGCATCCCCACCAGCAGCCTGGAGAGGAAACAGTCCTCTCCAGAAGCTTTCCCCTATAGCTTTACAGGCTGGGTCTCACAGGCATCTTACCTATCCTCAGCCCTGCATGTACAGCCTTCTCCAGCATCACTGTCTTTCTTTGACCCCAGCACTCCCATTGCAGGGAAGTTGGATCATTTTCTAGTTTTACAAGTGTCAGCAAATGCCATATGGGCTGTAGTTATTTTGGAGTAGAGAAAAATGAAGTCCCATCCTAAGCTGCCAGGGATGCTGTCTGCATTCAGCCTCACCGGCCAGCCAGGAAACAGAGCAGAGTCTGTCCTGTAGCCTTGTTGCTCTCTGGAGTTTCTGCTCACTGATTTTGGCCTCCCTGGAGTTGGCTGTAAGACAAGCACTGTTTTAATGGAACCTTTCCTGGCAAAAGCAATTTGCCCTGAATAGGAGTGTGGGATTAATTACCTAGCCTTGCTTCCTGAATCTTCTCCAGAAACCACACATCGAAAGTAGTCTCTGGTAGCACAGAGAAAAACAGGTATGTTGAGGGTGTTGCCCCCAACCATTCCATAGTTTGGAGCAAGTGCGGAGCATTACTGAAAGGAAAGTTGGGTCCCAGCACCCAAAGCCAGGAGCCGTGAGACCAGCTGTGCCCTCAGAAACTGCTATTTTTCTTGCTTTGCTGACAGATGGTACCTCAGTAGCTCTTGAAATAAATAACATTTCGTTGCCTGAGCTACGAATGCTGGCGTGAGCTTTAAGATAAAAAGAAAATACCCACATATGGAGCTGTGCTGTGAGTCTGCTTTTAAAGACGCTGGAAATTACTGGGGAAAGGGAGGGCTCCAAGTGTTACCTTTCCATTGACAGTAGCAGGGATTGCTGAATGGGGCTCTCTCATCTGACAGATGCTGAGCAGGGCTGGTTCCAGGAGTACATGATGGTTGAGCAGGGCTGTATCCACCAGCCTGCTCACTACTGACAGACCCACCAGATCAGTGTGTGGGCACTGCCTCATTGCTGTTTTAGTCAATAAACCCCACTGGGTGAAACTACCAGCATGTTTATTACAAATAATATTTGACAGGATGAAATTAGCACATAGATGCTCTTATGTTGGTTAATGAGGTCTGAAATATCATCCTATAAATCATCAACAACAGCCATCCAGTGACAGACATGAAAAGAAGAGCAGACGGTTACAACACATCCACTGCAGCAACAAGGGTTTAAAATAGCAGCGTACCTTTATGCAGGACATCTCTGATCAGGAAATGATCAGGTGTGATCCCTGGTTGCACGGCTGCCCTTTTAAGCAGACATCATGCTGGGCAGCTGGAGTGCAGTTCAGAGCTGCTGAAGCCATTGAACTTTCCACCACATCCAGGTGCAGCACAGCGGGTCCCTCAGTTGCACTGCTGGGTAAGAAAGGCCCGGTTACGTTGTCCCTCCAGCAAAGAAAAAGCAAGTAGCATCTGTTATGGTACAATAGCTTAGATATGGGTTTACAGAGTTCAATAGAAAGACAAGGTTCTGTGTGCTTTCCAACCCTGACTGGGCAAGCACCGAGGTTATCGTTCTATTAAGTGCCCCACTTTGGTACCTGTGAAAATAAAGGAAAATCACGGCCAGTCTGAAATTGTTGAACATTTACAAGAAATGAATGCTTTAATTTGCAGTATTTATCACCCAATAGAATCCCTCGTTCTCGTGATTTAGGAGGCAGTCAGGCTTTCTAAATGTACAACTGTTCTTATCCAAGGTTTATGGTAAACACAGCAGGAGTGAGTAAATTATTACAGCAATTTACATTTACTGTCCAGTATTTTTTATTTAGAAAGTAAATCTACTAGGAAGACCACCACAGGTAGCAGAACAGGAGGTAAGAGTATATGTGAAGCATCACATCCCCACCCCACCTCCCCTGTACAACTGAATCACAGTTGCAAGCACATCTCTGCACACAGTTCTCTTCATAGCTGGGCTTGTTTTACAGGCACACACATCTCCTGCTTTAGCACCCAATTTACAACATATTCAGTGTTGGGAACAAATTCCAGGATGCTACTTATTTATTGATTTTATTTATTTATGACCTCCAGTCACTACCTGGAGTCATATCCAACTATTCTAGATGGCCCCTTCCAACCTGCCCCTCCTAGCAAGCATCACAATCTTTTCACATAGGGTAAATGAGCCCCTCCTGACCTGTTTTCTCACTCAGACAAGCACTTTTCCACAGAAGCAGAATATTCTTCCCTGTAGGCTGGGTTCTGAGAAAGGAGTGTATTGTAAATATTTAATATATGACTAAACACTGTGTAAAAATTATAACCCTAAGTCTTTTCTCACTGCTGCTTGGCCTGTGCTTTAAATTATCCTATGATGGAGCTATAAAATATCCATACTTATTTAAGCTTCTCCTAATTTGTAACCTACTACAATCTGCTGTATCACTGGGGTTTTTACTTCAGCTTTAACAGTGCTCATTTGGTTTCCCCACCTATGCAAATGTGCTGCTAGCAGTTCACCTCGCCTCTGTCATTTCAGTGTTTAGTAGCATTCTACAACAGTGTAAGATTTGCTGTGGTGAGGGAGCTGGGGGTGTTTATCCTGGAGAAAAGGAGGCTCGGGGGGACCTTATCAGTCTTTACAACTGCCCAAAAGGAGGTTGGAGTGATGGGGCTTGGTCTCTTCTCTCTAGCAACAAGCAATAGAGCAAGAAGAAGTAGCCTCAAGTTGTGTCATGGGAGGTTTAGATTGGATGCTAGGAAGAAATTCTTCACAGAAAGGGTTGTGGAACAGGCTGCTTAGGGAAGTGGTAGAATCACCATCCCTGTAGGGGTTTAAAACCCATGTAGATGTGGCACTTGGAGACAGGGCTCAGTGGTGGACCAGTGCTGGGTTAATAGTTGAACTTGATCTTTTCCCACCTAATTGAGTCTATGAATGTTGACAATAACAACAGCTATATTTACCTATTCCTTGTATTTCCCTCAGTACTTTGGTATTTTAAGTCATGTCAACTTCAGGAACAAACCCTCTAGGCTGGATGCTGTGAGTATTTCCCTCAGAACCAAACAGGAAATGTAGCAGAATGTGTGCAAATTACTCATATGCACCAAGGAAATAACTGTGTCCTTAAAATTTGGGAGGAAAAAATATCTCATCTAATAAACAACACTCATTTCTGCAAAAAAGGAATAGCCCACTGATGCATTGCATTATTTCAGTGTAAGATTATAGATGCTGTCCCCACGTTATGGGAAAGAAAGATCATTTCAGGTTTCCAAGAGCCAGCACATTACAGCAATGCCTGTGAATATTCCTCCTACTCAGTGAACTGGGAGTTAGCTCTGAAGGAAACCAAACATAACCAGGTGTGTAAGAGACTTTGTCTGTACTCTGAGTATTTTTTGAAGCTCCCTTGCTTGACACTAGTAGATAGCAAGAAACTTAATTAATACCAGCAGTTACAGTAAACCTCAGAGACTTTGACCCTAGAGTTGATCTTAAGTACATAACTGCTTATCATACACCAACAAGCTGATCAGACTTCTCACATGAACTACCACAGAAGAACAAGAAACCCAAGAAGAAAATAAAAATGTGTGACACATGTAAAGCCCCTGCTGAAGTGTAGAACTTCAGATAGGGGCAGAGCTGCAGAAGACCAGGTACATTAGTCTAAGTTGATGCAACTCTGTGTTTGGTAATCCCCTGGGAGAGAACCGGCATGGGAAACGCTTGACAGAGAAAGCGTGTGTTCATTTTGAGAAAACACGGCACTAAGGCTTTTGGGACATAGGTGGGAACTAACTTACAGTGCCAGGGGATGCTTGGACTCGTTGTGGTAAATGAATTGTCAGCAGTGGCAGGAAACATCTTTGAAAAAGCTGGGCGCTGGTTCCAAGTATGAGGCACAGAGCAGAGAATGTGATCTGGTCACATTTCTTTTACATCTAGATATCAAACTGCCTTCCAGCCCAGAAACAATAATAAATTTTGCTCAGTTGCTTGCTCTGTTGATACCACCTCATCACTTCCAACACATAAAGTGCAAGTGATGGCTTTGCTGCTGCAGTCACTATCCTTTACAGCACTAGTTATATGTTATATGCTATAAGATTAACCTGCAAGCATTCACTGAGTCTCTTAATGCAAATAACCCACACCTTGCAGTCATTCCATGAAAAATATTACATTTGCAAAAAGATACAGGGCTTTAAAACCTTGTCACAGCTTGCAGTCGACGAATGCAACATTTTTCTAAGTCAGCCTTGTCATATAAAGAAGACACTACATTCAAAGAAACAGCAGCCTGCCACTGTTAGTTTTAGAGGTAAAAAAATAGGAAAATTTTCCTTGATGTAACACTGGAAAGGAAGGGAATTCTGCTCAAATCACCGTTACTGTGCATGCAGTAAGGGTAACAAATGGCAGCTGCACTTCTCACCGAGGTGAGACTAAACAGAGTGCTGCAGAGATCACCCAGCTGGCACAGAGAGGATCTTTGCTTGGCACATGGAATGTGGGAGAGTGCCCACTTCCCACTCTGCAGAGACAGTCCTTGGGATTGGGAAGGCACAGCCTCAGTTCTCACACCTGGGATGCCACTGCTGCAACAGGCCTGTGATCCCCTACCAGCCCACCGGTGTTTGGGATGCGTTCTGACATCACTGGTCCTTACAGAAGTCTAGGATTCAATTCTTCCACCTGGCCTTCACAGGGCTTTCTGAGGGCTCCATCCCCCAGAACTGACCACTGCTGTTTTGCAAAAGCCACATGTCTAAGTGTTTGATCACCTAACCCCAGAAAAGCCTTAAGATCACAGCAATTCTCGAAGCTGCAATGACTGCATCTGCTAGTGGGAAAAAAGCAATTACTCCAAGCACACTAATGGCAGAATGTTCAAGTTGAATATTTAAGGAGTTTAAGAAGCTTATCAGGGATCTCAGTTGTGTGACTTGTTTTCAAATTTCCTCTGTAAGTCATGTGTCAAAAAAAAAAGGCAAATAAACAATGAAAAAGATATTGAAAATATTATTTCAGTCAGCAGTAAAATGAAACAATGCAATGGAAGATTAATTTCCCCTCAGAGCATGCTGAGTGATGACACAAATACTCATTTCAAAAGATGCAAAAGGCATTGTGCCCCAAAAGATGGAGCATGATTATGAGCGTAATGGGTTGTTTAACTTGATAAAGTGCCAGTTTCTAAATAGAAACTGCGTTTTAAATATTTAATCACATTTTGAACAGTCTCCCATTTTTTCCTTGTCTAAAAACAGACAACAAAAAATTACATCTTTCTTTAAGCATCCAAAAATGTTGATACAGTAATTAGGCAGGAGGAGGAAGATTTAGCTAAATTTAAACCTATTTGGGTGCCTTATAGTCAAAGCAGTGAAGCTTCAGTGCAGATCCCAGCCCCTTGTCAAACACATGCCACCCAATAATGGGATTTGCCTGTGCCTTTTGACTTTCCAATAGCTTATACACCTATGAGTGAACACGTCAGAGCCTTTCCCTTGCATCCCCATGGATCCAGTGTCTCACACCAAACATCAGTGTGGCACCACTGCCACAGCCTGGTGTCCTCCCACTGCTCTTGCCCAGAGAAATGAAAGCCCTAGCCTGAGGCTGGCAACAGGACATGCCAAACAGGCTGCATCCCACTGTCTGTGGGCTAAGCCCACCAAGAGGGGACCCTCTGCCCCCCATCACACCCTCTGCACTGCTGCCCTCTCCCATCTGCTTTAGTCTCCATCAGTATTTCACTCCCTTTTCATCTCCAGCCCCCAGGCAGCTCAGGACACCCCCTGGTTGTCTTCTCTTCTGCCCACATGAACATGGAAAAATCTGTGTATTTCCATCAAAAGATACTGCAAACGCTGAAAAGAACTAGAAAGCAGATGCAAACATTCCTTTTGGAACCCAGGCCAAGGCCACTGGTTGCTACTTTGCCACCTTGAAAAGGACAAGGTAAAAGGAGGATGGCAAGAACGTCTGAGGGCCCCTCCAAGCCAGAGGGATCCCCAACCTGCCTCTAAAGGACCTGGGTGGCCAGACACTGTGGGAGCAATGAGCTGATGGCCCAGGAAAGGCTCCTGGCTGCTTTAGCTTTGAGCCCACCAGGGCTGGATCACCCACTCTGACATGCCCACACTCACAAAGTCATTCTGTTGTCCCCTGTCAGGCTCCGGCCAAGGACCAGGGCACATCACGGTAGCCCAGCTCCAAATCTCAAGAGGCTTTATCTTATCCAAATATTCCTCTGTGCCCTCTCCAGTTGCCACCCCTCCCATGAGAGAGAAAAGCTGCTGTCTTTTTTTTTCTTTATCCCAAGGCCACAGCATTGCACTTTGAAAGAAGGAAATGCCTTTGTGGATGGATGTTTTACATCCCAATGACAGATTGCAGATCCCTGAC